GGAAGGAGTAGCCAACAAGGCTCATTTCGCTATAGAATCATTGTGGGACAACTCAAAAGTGATATTCCAATACGTCCCCTCACTTGCCAGTCCTTCGTAAGCCCAAGACCACATAGCAGGCCGGGTAGAGAGAGTCATTGCAGGTCGACAAGGCCACTCTGATACCATATTAGAACCGGGGGTAGAGGGTGCGGTCCCACCAGGTGAAGCGCACCATAAGAGGGTGAACCTATATGCACCCTAGTTCCATCCTAAAACCAATTGGTGATGAGAGGAGTACTCCACTAGGCTTATATACTAGACTCATTTTCCCTAAGAATCAATGTGGGACAACCCACAAGTGATATTCTAACAATATTTGATTAGCGAGTAACTTTAATGTTAGGCGAGTCGACCGACCGTATCATATGAACAAATATACACAACTATGCTATTAAATTTTATATTTTTGTTTATATTAATTTTTAACGAGCTCGATTTGGTTCAAACCAAACGTGATTAATGTGAGAAGTTAAATATTGAAGAGCGGTTTGTCAATGTGGTGACAGGTGAGTTAAATAAAAAGAATTTAATGTGAAGGTGGTCCTTTAAAATTATTCCTCCAAATTTATTAGGGCATAAAGATAATAATAAGCTGGGCAGCCTGGGCTTTATCCACTGCCCAAATGGCCCAAAAAAGGAAGAAAACTTATAGCCACCTCATGCACAAATTAAATATCATTACTATTACTTTAGGGTTTATTGCACCAATTCTCCTTGTATTATATGAAATCTACGTGTTATTCTTCTATATTTCAAAAATTGCGTCAAACCCCCTTATATTTAATATCTGCGTACATACTCGCCATTTGATGTTAACATCGTTACTTTAATATTGACGGTGTTACTTTTTCATCGAATTTACCATTATACTCTTACTTTATCACCGAATTTACCATTATGCCATTATACTATTACTTTATCACTGAATTTACCATTATGACATTACTTTATCACAGAATTTACTATTATGCCATTACTGTCAAATAATATATATTCTCTAAATTATATATAAATACAATAATATATATATATATATATAAATAAAATAATATATATATAACGTATTTATATGAATGTGATTATATATATATATGTATATATATATAAATATATATATAACGTATAAAGAAAATAATATATATAATATATATATAACGGTATATAATATATAATATAATTATATATATATATATTATATTTAATATATAATATATGGGGGAGGATCCAATGAGTACACTCCTTAAAATGAGTACACTCCTTAAAATGAGTCCACTTCTTAAAATATATATTAATTAAATAATAAAATAATTATTAGTTGACTCC